TTTGGGTATATATCCAAAAGACAATCATATCACAAGGACATGTGCTCAACTATGTTCATAGCAGCATTATTCATAATAGCCAGAACCTGGAAACAACCTAGATATCCCTCAACTGAAGAATGGATAAAGAAGCCAGGCGGTGGTGGCGCACGCCTTTAATCCCAGCACTCGGGAGGCAGAGGCAGGCGGATCTCTGGGAGTTCGAGGCCAGCCTGGTCTACAAGAGCTAGTTCCGGGACAGAGAAACCCTGTCTCGAAAAAAAAAAAAGAATGGATAAAGAAAATGTGGTACATTTACACAATGGAGTATTACACAGTGGTAAAAAATAAAAACATCTTGAAATTTTCAGGAAAATGGATGGATCTAGAAAAAAAAAATTGAGTGAGGTAACCCTGGCCCAGAAAGACAAATATATTATGTAGTCACTCATAAGTGGCTTTTAGACATAAAGTAAAGAAAACCAACCTATAATTCACAATCCCAGAAAACCTAGACAACAAAGAGGAACCTAAGAGAGACATACATGGATCTACATAGGAAGGAGAAGAAGAAAAGATCTCCTTTGAGTAAATTGGGAGTGCGGGGGTCATGGGAGAGAGTAGAAGGGATGAATGGAAGAAGAGAGGGGAGTGGAGAAAAATGTGTAGCTCAATAAAAACAATAAAATAATAGTAAAATGCACAGGCTGAAATGTAACCCAGTTGGTAAAATGCTTGTCTAACCTGCCCTAGCCCTAGGTTCAACACCCAAAAGCCAGCCTGGATTACATGAGACCCTGTCTCAAACAAACAAACATTATAAGAGACATGCTTCTAACATTAGGATTTCTGGACTGTAGTCTAATTTTCAAACAATATGATATACTAAGTTGGCTAAAGTGAGAAGGTAAGACATGCCACACACACACACACACACTCCACTAAAGCAGTTATTGAGAAAAGACAGGTAGAACAAAGTGGTGGGAGGGGCTTCACCCTGAGCTATTTAGGACATAAACAACTAATGCAAAGCAGGGAAGGCTGAACATCCCCATGAAGCTATCATCAGCTGACTGAATGGTTAGACTGTGGATTATTTACATACCTAATACAAATCTGCAATATTTAGGATAACACAGTAAAAACCATCAGACAAAGGACTTGGTGGTACTCACAAGTCTCCCTTTTCCTTTCCATACACAAGCAAACAAAAGACTGACTGGAAGCTGCTGAATGAATACTGAGAATATTAGTGATTTTTGCTTTCATTTGCATAGTTTTCCATTTCCTACTATAATCATGCATTGTTCTTATAAAATCTATTAAATTCATAATTTGAGCCCATACTTTTATTAAATACTTAAGAACTTGCAAACAATATATGGTGTCCTGACTAAAACACACCAGGGAAAACGCTTTCTAACCAGAAAGCTTTGCTGGAATTGTTCTCCGTGCCAAGAGCTTGAAGAATCAGGCACAACAAACTGAGGGAAGGGCAAGGAGCTTCCACTTGTTGTTCCACCAGTGAGCACACTGACTCACTGGTCATTTCTTCACCCACTGATCAACACCTCCACACCACACAACCCTAGGGCGCACCAGCTGTATACTATTCTACAAGCTGAATATGACTGGATTAGTGTAAAGCCAGTGTAACAATGGAAGTTGTACACACAGAGGTTTGCCTATTGTGTGAAGGGAAGACTCTGAGGTTCAGGGCCTTTCACAAAAACATGTAGAGACCAGGGATATAACTAGTATGGCACATGCCTAGCATACAGAAGGCATTAGGTCATCCCCATACACAGTAGGAAAAAGAAATATCACCCACCTTCAAGGATTGTACATTATTCCATTAGGTTGAAAGTCTTTTTGTTTGTTTTATGGTTTTGTTTTGTTTTGTTTCAAGACAGGGTTTCTCTGTAGCTTTGGAGCCTGTCCTGGCACTAGCCCTTGTAGACCAGGCTGGCCTCAAACTCACAGAGATCCGCCTGCCTCGCCCAACTGCTGGGATTAAAGGCATACACCACCACCGCCCGGCTGGGTTGAGAGTCTTAAATATGAAACTAGATGGTAATATTATATTCTTTCAAACTAAAAATGATGGTAGCAGATTTAAACAGAAAGAACCAAGAAGCATCAAAGATAGAAATAAAAGAAGTCATTAGTTACGATTGTTCAGTTTGTATAAAAATAGGCCCTGACTCCACCTGCAAATGGCAACTCTTCCGTCGTGACATTCCGCTCCTCCACTATATTTACATCTGGACAACAGTACAAAATTAAGAGTGACTAAACCACTGGCGCCTCAGCAAGCATCAAAGGAGAGACAAACCGCACATGTTTCAAGTGTCCAATCTGATATATCTGTGTACACAAGTATTTACGCATCTTGATGAGACATGTCTCCAAGAGACCATCGCCATCATCAAGGAGATTAGCGCTCAGTCATTCCCCAGTGTTCTTTCTTGGTTGAGTGTCTATCTTATTAATATCCTGCCTAACAGAGATACAAACAAGCATCTGAGCTGCAGACTGAATAGGTCACCTCAAGGAAACACACTTGTGTGGGGCTAGAGATGGCCCAGGGCTAAGTGCATGTGCAGGTCCTGCAAAGGACCCTTGGGTTTCCACACCTATGTCAGGCTGCTCACAAGCTCCCTCTTCTAGAAGCCACAGGCACCTGCACTCACACATACAGACATACCTTTTTATAAGAGAAAAGCACTTGCATAACTGAGTTGTCACCTAAATTATCTATGCTTCTTAAGGGTTTTGTTTGTTTCACATCTTGTGCCCAGATTTTTAGTTATAACACTGACTTAGGAAGGCAAGTCGGGCCCCCACCACACTCAATGTTGGGGCACAGTCTCTCTTTAGCCCCAACTAGCCTTTCTGACCAAGCAGTGAACACAGCACCTGTTCCTTCCTGGATCTGCACTTCCAGCAAATCCTGTCCTATGGAGAACAGTCCTGACATGCTTAGCTGGTCCAGCAGCAGGCTGTCCACACTGTGATTACTAAGGCTGACTTAGAAGAATATGCTTGACAAAATAAGACCTAGAACTTTAGTGTGAAGATGGCCTCATTTACCAAGGTTAACAGTGCAGAGTGACACTCTCTAGTTAGGAAACAGGGATGATGGGGTGAAATGAACCCGAGAGTTAGAAGACTGAGGTTCAAGTCCCACCTCAAGTCTCTGCACTCCTGTGTGTTAGCGAACTAGCTCAACCGGTGCCAGGTGTCAGGGCAAAGGCCTTCAGTCCCAGCTCTTTCGGGTCTCTGAGTTGGAGCCCATCCTGGTCTACAGAGTAAGACTGTGTCTTAAAACAAAAAACAAAAACAACAAAACCACGAATTCGACTGATGAGCTTTACTTGCAGTCTAGGCATAACACTGTATGTCACAGGTTGTTGTGAGGTAGGGACTACATAAAATATGAGAAGGTACTTGGTACTCTTTTTTTTTAAAGTATGTATGTATTTTTTTATTTATTACATATATTTATTTATTTATTATGTATACAATATTCTGTCTGTGTGTATGTCTGCAGGCCAGAAGAGGGCACCAGACCTCATTACAGATGGTTGTGAGCCACCATGTGGTTGCCGGGAATTGAACTCAGGACCTTGGGAAGAACAGGCAATGCTCTTAACCACTGAGCCATCTCTCCAGCCCCCGGTACTTGGTACTCTTAAAGGAACTACAGAGATAAGCCCCCCATCACCTCACATCCAAATCTCTACACTAGTGCAACACATTAAAAACTAAAAACTTCTTTCAAGTGTAATGTTTGATATATCCATACACGTATAGTCTATATGTAATATTCATTTATAAATGTAGCTAAACACATATAATTTTTTGAGACAGGGTTTCTCTGTGTAGCCCTGGCTATCCTGGATCTCACTTTGTAGACCAGGTTGGCCTCAAATTCAGAGAATCACCTGCTTCAGCCAAGTGTGGGGATTAAAGGCGTGTACCACCACTGCCCAGGGGCTCGATATAATTTTAAAATTTCATCTCCCATCTAATTTGCAAGGTTCTTAATCCAAGACTGTACTCTTGAAGACTGTTTCTATTCTTGGAATTTGGCCATTGAATGAGTAATGAAAACAGATCCATTTTTAGGAACCAGGCCACGCACCAGGCTGAAACTGCCATTTTAAAAGCATAAGCATATTCACAAGTGGCATGTTACTTACATCTGTGACATTGTGGCAGGAAGTGCAATAGTATTTTCCTTCATCAGTAAGGCCCCAGGAGACAGCAGCACACTGTGAACAGCGGTCCGTGAACGATTTCTATAGAAAAGAGAAAACCTGTGACTGTCAGGCCAGTACACTGCATCTTAAACCTCATGGTTCTAAGTTCTATCTCTAGAATTCCTGGTGATTTCATCCCCCAAATTAAAAAAAAAATCACAAAGTTAAAAATACATCAGACTATCTAAAAATAAAAAATTAAGTCTCTTTAGTAGTAAGAAACACTGTAACTATTCCACAAAGCTACTAAAATATGCAGACTGAGAACCAAGAAGAAAAGCTAGACAAGACTAAACTAGAAACAAAGAAACAGGTAAAGTTCCTTGGAAGCGGTGGGGGAGAAAAAGATGACCCAGCATATGTAAGCAAAATAAAAATGCGAAGAGTAGAAACCCTGTTGGCATTTCCTTGGTAGCACTGAAAAATGTACCAAGAAACAGCTGTTTCAAGTTCTGGTGCATTTAGGCAGCGCTATCAAGGGTACCAACTGTATGTGTATGAGACGTGGAACCGTATGCTGCAGGGCTCCATTAAGGAAAAGGAGCACAAGATTCACCCATGCTCTATATGGATGGATCATGGTGGATTGTAATTTCAGTTTTATCAACTTATTCTCTAAACTTTAACCATCCATCATACAACATTTATTGGTATTATACTTAGAGTCTACTATGAGACCCTCTATCATTATTCTGCCAGTGTGCGCGTGCGCGCGCACAAACACACAGAGAGACTTGGATCCTAAACCTTTCGTGTTTGACTTATGGGTCGTTACTGAATATGCCTATCATGTAAAGGTCATTTGAAGTTCAACAACATCTTGATCACTTTTACAATGAGGTATCGATAGGTACATGTGCTGGACAGGTTTGTGTCAACTTGCCACAACCTAAAGTCATTTTAGGAGGAAGCCCAGTAGAGAAAATGCCTCCTTAAGATTGGGTCTCTTAATTAGTGTTTGATGGGGGAGGGCCCAGCTCATGGTAAGTGGTGTCAGCCCTGGGCTGCTGGTCCTAGGTTCTATAAGAAAGCAGGCTGAGCAAGCCATGGGGAGCAAGCCAGCAAGCAGCACTAAGGCCTCTGCATCAGCTTCAGACTCCAGTTCCTGCCCGGACTTCCTTAGATGATGTGCAGTGTAAGCCAAATAAACCCTTTCTTCCCCAACTTGCTTTTTTGGTCATGGTGTTTTATTGCTGCAATAGAAACCCTAACTAAGACAGCACACTGGAATGTCCTCTGAAGGGGTTTGGAATCGGTACCCCGGACAGACTGATACTGGTTTCTTGGAGGCATCCCAAGTTCAGGTCCTGCCCTTCCTCACCCCAGCCCAGCGCCAATGGGAGCTTTGCTGGATGGTCCCTTCCAGAGAGGATGAGCCATGGAGGTGGCCATCCCACAACCCCACAGCTTCATCCTTCTCCCGACTCACGCCCCACGGGCACAAACACTCCACCCACCCGCACCCGCACCCTCCCCGTGTGGGAAGGTGGCCTGGTTCCGTGGCCACCGCCCCCTCGCCCCGCCCCCTCTGCTAGTCACCGCCCCCCGCCGACGCCTCCTCCTCGCGCTGCTCCTTCTCCGCTTGGCTCCCTGGGCTCTTTCAGTTAGGGAAACGCCGAGTCAGACCCCCATGCGGTCCTCTAGGTCCTTACCGCCTGCTCCAGATCCATCGCTGCTCGGTCGCCGCCACCGTTACCTAAGGCAGCGGGAGCCGCTTCCGGGAGAGGCGAGAGAGTGCTCCGGCCAGAAACACAGTCCCCGCCTTTGCGTTCCGCTAGTCTTCAGTGCCGCCCTTTATGCTCCTAAAGCCTGGGTTTTGAGCTGCCAGCCAGCAAGGCAGGAACGGGGCCAGACTCCTGAGAATTGGCTCAGACCTACGAGAAGTTGTCTTATTTATTTATTTTTGGTGGAGTATGTGTCGAGACAGGGTTTCTCTGTGTAGCCCTGGCTGTCAAGGCGCTCAGTAGACCAGACTGGCCTTGAAATCACAGAAATCCTCCTCCTTCTGGGTGAGGAGTGCTGGGATTAAAGGCAAGCACCACCACCTCCCGGCTTCTCGTTTTTTGTTTTTTTATTATTATTATTATTATTTTATTTTCTTACATATTCTCCTAATGTCTGAGGTAGAGAACACATCGTTAGAGCTGGGTTTCTATTTGTTTTTTTTTTTTCTTCTTCTTCTTCTTCTCCAGGTCTTTAAGAACCAAAGCCTTGTGTGTGTTTGTCAGGTGCTTTACACTACCTTGCAACCTAGGTAGCGGATCATGATTTTTTTTTCTTGTGCCTCCACTTTCTCCTGTGTAAAAATTGTATATATTTACCTGTAAATATAGTTAGATCTCACATAATAAAGTCTCGATAAATTTCGTACGTACCTTCGTTGAACACTCGAATTCTTTGCTTCATTCCTTAAATCAAAATCGCTTTTAAATTTTGGGGATTTACCTATAAACAAAGTAACTCTCCTCTTTCGTCAAGACTATATTTGGGCTTTTAAGATTTTTATTATTTCATTGTTTTTGTTTGTTTGCTTTTTCAAGACAGGGTTTCTCTGTGTAGCCCAGGCTGTCCTGAAACTAACTTTGCAGACCAGGCTATACTGGAACTCAGCAGAAATTCGTCTGCCTCAACCTCCCAAATGCTGGGATTAAAGGTGTACACCTCCACTGCCTGGCTATATTTGTTTTAAATGCTAAAGATCTTATCCTGGGTCGGTAGAGGTGAATGCTGAGATGGACTTTAGGTGATAAAGTTCCCACTGATTTCTGCTTCCCAATTGCTGGGATTAAAGGTGTGCACCACCGCTCTCTGGTTATATTTGAATTTTTCAAAGAAAGGGACTTCTTTTTAGGAAACACATAATTAAAAAAATATACAAAGAGAAGCTGGGTGTTGGTGGCACACGCCTTTAATCCAAGCACTTGGAGACAGAGGCAGGCAAATCTCTGAATCCAAGACCAGCCTGATCTACAGAGTGAATTCCAGGACAGCCAGACTAGCTATATCAGAAAATGGTTTAGGGCTGGAATGTTGCTCGGTGGTTGGTGTGTGTTTGTCATTTAGAAGACCATGGACTCAAGCTTCAAGACTGGAAATAAATAATTGAGACAACAGCAAGACAAAGAAAAGACAAAGTGTCCATGACTCTATTCATCAGTAGACTTGTGTTAACCAAGATACCACACAAGCCAATAAGGCAGAGTCCAGTTAGAAAGACAAGGCAGTGGAGTGCAGTAATCCCAGCTCTTCTGGAGGCTGAGCAGGAGGACCCTAAGTTAGAGTCACCTGGGCTATGTACTTAATGAAACCCTGCCTAAAACAAACAAAACAAAACAAATGAAACGCTGAAGAGGAATAGCAGTGGTAGTGGAAAAGGCGATCAGTCTCTAGATATATAGGCAAAAGCCAAACCTGGTGGATGGGGTGAGACAAGGGTTAAGATGGACTGTAAATCTCAGAACCTGTCCTGCGCTGCTGGGAAAAGATCGCCTTTACTGAGGCAAATAAATAAATAAATCTATCTTCCGCCTAAGCACAGTGGAGGAGAAAACAATATTCTGTTTTGGTATACGTCTTAGTGTGGTCTTGTTCCATGTCCAGGTGGGGCCCTGAGGACCACACTGAATTGATGAGTTGGATATTCAGGGGAAAGGGCATGACTGGGGCTGAACGCAGGGCTAACCAAGGTAAGATTACTAGGGAGGGAGTGTCCAGAGAGAAAAAGGTCCAAGGACTGAGGCCAGTAAAGGACCGTGAGAATGAATGTCCTTGACACAGAGGAAAACCAAGAGTACAAGGCACCCTGGAAGCCATCAGTGTCAAAGAGGAAGACCCTTCACCTGCACCAGAATATAATGCATGAGTAATAAAAACCCAGAGACAAAAATTGGGGTTCAACCTGAAAAACAAAACAGACAAGCCACTAGAGAAGTCTTACCTCTACCACAGCTGGGCAGCCACAGACTAAAACAGACTAAGCCTCTCTCTCCTCCTATTTTATATTCCCTCTAGTGCTGGGATTAAAAGTGTGACTCCATAGGACTGGGATTAAAGGTCTGCGCCACCACCACCTGGATTCATTTCTGCATTGTTGTTGTGTAGCCCAGGGTGGCCTTGAATTCACAGAGATCCATTAGACTCATATCTCATTGTCATAAAAAAGAAGAACATAGTTTATTAAAACATCTTAAATGCCATATTTGTAGGTCTCTGAAGTGTTTGAAGATGACCTGTCTACCTAAAATAGATCTCTATTTAACCTTGAAAATGTACCTAATGTGACTACAGTTTGATAATACTAAGTGATTAACTATTAATCTGCATTTCCTTGTTATCTGAAACTATCGGTAATAATAATTTTCAAGGACTAGAAATTTGCATTACATTATTAAATGACTTATATAGGTACAATACCTAGAACAAGAGTAGAAATGTATATACAGTATGTTCTAACAAAAGCAATCTCATTGGGCAGTGATGGTGCACGCCTTTAATCCCAGCACTTGGGAGGCAGAGGCAGGCGGATCTCTGTGAGTTCGAGGCAAGCCTGGTCTACAAGAGCTAGCTCCAGGATGGCTTCCAAGCTACAGAGAAACCCTGTCTCGAAAAAAAAAAACAAAAAAAGAGGCAATCTCAATATACAAATTTATATACAATATACAAAGCTCCAATTCAATTTAAAATTAGTAGTTGCTCTTAAAAGTAGACTCAATAATCTAACTTTTTATCTTATATCTATATCCTCCCTTTTTTCTTTTCAGAGTAGATTCAATAATCTACCCCTTTATCTTATTGTATCTCTATCCCCCTTTTTTCTTTTCAAAACAAGAAAAGAATCTAATTTCCTTTGTTTAGCTTTTTTTCTGACCATTACTGATAACAACTTGTAGCCAAACCCCTAAACAATGACAAACATCCATAATTCACTGAACTAACAAAAACCATCCACCCCACCTCTTGGGAATGTGGGCGTTGTATTCTTAAATTTACTTCCTGCTGACCGGGGACAATGGTATCTTATAGGATCCTGAAAAGAAAATTTGGGTTAATTGTCAAGTCCTGGGAGAGGCAGGTGAATCAGTTTTTTTTCTTTTGGTCCAGTCTATGCATAATGGGAAAATGCAGGGCTTGTCTCAAGTCCTGGCTAGAGTAGTCTGTTAGGATGGATCATCTTAGCTTGTCATCTCAAAATTATTCTGAGCAGTTTGTAGTCCAAAACCAATCCTTCAGTGGTACTTTTCAGCTTAGTAGTGTTATCATAGTCCTGGAGGATTCATTGTTGTAGGACCCCATCCTCCTTAAGGAGACTTCAAAGGTCACTGTTAGGTGTGCTGCAGAAAACTGATAGAGACTCAAATCTGAAATCATGTATAGGAAGGTAGATGAAATCTTTTTCTAGAATTAGTTAATATTCTATATGACCATTTATATCATGACCTTAAGAAAAGCTGTCAATATAAAAGCAAAGGATGATAAGATTAGTAGCAATAAAATAGTCCTTAAATTTTTGTTTTTCTTCTGTCCCATATTAGGTGGCTCTTCTGACATGAGACAAGAGATTTTGAATTTCACTTTAATAATCATGGGGGTTTTAAAAGAGAGAGTTGCACTCCAACTCTAAAGTCAGCTTTAATTTTTAATTAAACTGGGACTACAAAAAGAACATTTGCATTTTATGTCTGTAGAGAATAGCAGAAACATACATTTGGTAAGATTTATGAAATTTTACCTTGTTGGAAATGTGATATAATAATAGACCAATTTGCTCTTTTTCTTGAGACATTTTTTTCTGAATGCTTTGTTTTTTTTTTTTTTTTTTCCTTCAGATGTCTCGTTTGTCCAGTAGTCTTCAGATTTCTTAGCTGGATATATTTATTTTCCTGAAAAGACGGAAATTAAACCTTTTCCCAGCCCTAAATTTTGGAAGATTCTATTTTGGCAAGTTATCGCTGATCAAATGAAAAGCATTTGTTAGTTTTATAGGTTAGTTCAAGTTAAAAGGCCATGATGTTTGATGAACTATCATCTCTTCCAATTAAGCGGCATCTCTTGTTCAAATCCAATCTTTATCAATTTCAATGATATACATAGCTTTTCTTCTCCTGTAGAAACAAAAGCAAAACTCCTTCCCCAAGCAAATACATGTCATGATTTCCATTCTTAGGTCAGTACATCTTTAAAGTATTGATGGAGGAAGGTCATTGGTTAAAAAAATAAAGAAACTGCTTGGCCCTCATAGGTTAAAACATAAGTGGGAGGAGTAAACAAAAAAGAATGCTGGGAGGAAGAGGAAGTGAGCTCAGAGGCCATGCTCCCCTCTCCTGGGCAGACGTGATCGTTGAAGCTCCGACCCAGGATGGACGTAGGCTAGAATCTTCCCGGTAAGCGCACCTTGGGGTGCTACACACATTATTAGAAATGGGCTAGTCCAGGTGCGAGAGTTAGCAGAGAAGAGGCTAGATATAATGGGCCAAGCAGTGTTTAAATGAATACAATTTGTGTGTTGTTATTTCGGGGCATAAGCTAGCAGGCGGCCAGGAGCCGGGCTGTGGGAAGAGGCCCACAGCTCCCACTACAAAGTATATTAGCTTATTTAATTCTGTTTTTTTCTACTATCCACTGTCTCCCCACAGCTGTTGTCGCTTTCTCATTAGCACGTAGAAAATTCAAAGTTAATAAAGCATTATGCAATCTATTTCTGGGGGTAATTTTTA